GATTTCTATATGTCCCGGAACAGACCCTTTGACGTATATATATATATATATATATATATATGTCAAAGGGTCTGTTCCGGGACATTTAGAAATCTCATATTTTTTTACTATATTCTGATAAATCATTAAGATTAAAATTCATTTTGATTTTAAAAAATTAAATATTTCTTTCCGTTCTTAAGATATCACGTTTTTAAAGTTTTCCAAGACACTTGCATAATGGCAGCTTCCAGGGCAATGGTAATTTCCAGGACTGCCCTGGAAAATTCTATGTATAATGGTATATTCCAGGACAAACATAAAATATATATAATTTTTTTCAAACACTAATCTTCGAAGGATCTTCTTATGTGAACATTTTAATTTTTAATTGGCTTTAAAGCCTAACTGGACATTAAAGCTAAGAGATTGTCCGTCGTTAACTGTAAAGTTTCTATAATAAGAGTTAAGGTTCCCTTAATCAACCAATCAGCGCGAAACAATTCGCCGACCGGGTTGCGTGGATTGGTTAGGATGTGATTTGTGGATTCTCAATATTCAATCGTAACCATAACCACTACCAAGTCTGTAAATCGTAATATAATACGGTCTTAAATATATTTCTATGTAAAAACCAATTTATACTGTACATAACACACTATACTCATTGGGCGCGTTCCACTTTACGACCGCAACACTCACGGTATCATTTCATCTTTGTTGTTCACCGAAAGTTAAACAAAGACAGATGATGCTCGCGAGCGTTGCGGTCGTTAAGTGGAACGCGCCCATTGTCATCTCACCGTCATTACACACATTAACGCACTATCAAATATTCGGTAAATATGCATATTAGATTACACTTAACCGATGACTTTGACCTTGACATATGTTGTCAAGGATATAACCCTGAGTAACTTTTCCTTATAACTTAACCGGCGGTCTCTTATAGTTTCTGAGATATTTAAAGTTAACATTTGGGTGTAGGGGAGGGCGGAACCCACTGTGTGCACGCACATATTTTACAAAACAAAGCGAAGTTCGCCCCACAATTGTTGTATGGATGGGAAAGTATATGCGTGGACGCAGTGGGCTCCAAAACATATGTCAAGGTCAAAGTCATCGGTGAGGTGTAAGCTAATATGCATATTTACCAAATATTCTTCTAAGAATTTCAAGTATATTATGTATCAATTCACATTATTTGCTTTACTTAAAATCTGTAGAAAAATATTGTATAACCTTATGTATAATGTGAATTAATCTTAATTTCGTAAAATATACTGTAGCTTAAGTCTTATTATAGAAACTTTGGTTGTGTTACGTCCGGTGGACTCCACAATTCTTTTCTTTCATCGTAAATAGAGATTAGCGGTATCTTAAGAGCGCATTACGCCTTGAAATAAACAAATGAAAACTGAAAGGCGAGACAAACTTTTCGGAAACAAAAATTGAGAGGATATATGATACAAACAGGAAACTAGAGCATATCTGATCTAAGAAATAAGCAAAGCTTGGATGACAAATTCTCTTACTAATCTAAATTATGGTTGACAGCTCTCGTAATAAACAATTTCGATACCAAGAATCTAAATGAAAACCGAAACGGACATTAAAAATGATATCATATGTGCTCGCCTGACAGATCTCCGTTACACGATATCTACCTAAGATAAAACTTAGGTAGATAATAAAAGGCATAACTCTCACTCAAATCGCAACAACTCTCCATTGGGCGAAAGCTAATTCTATAAACAAAAGCCTTCACCAATACCTAAGGTTCTAACACCTCCTATGCTAAAGGGCAACGCCTCCCAGCAACATCGGAGGGCGAGAATAAAAAATTCAATTCGCGAAAAATATTAACGAAACCAATGGAGAGGAGGAGCAAAGGGCTTAATATACTCCGAATCTTTCCTCGCGGCTCATTCATCATTCAGTTCTCAATCATCGTTCAGTTCTCATTCATCATTCAGTATTTCTTCATTCAGTTTTCAGTATTCAGATTCAGTTTCAAGTCAGTTTCAGTTCAGTTCAGTTCATTAGACAGTTCGTCATCAAGGGTCACCTGTATTTAACAGAGCGACTCGTGATATTCTTCCGTCGCCAAGGTTCACCTGTACTTTACAGCGCGACTCGCGG